AATGTCAGTAATAGTTATAGTTAGGGTAAGGTAAATGTCAGTAATAGTTATAGTTAGGGTCTGGGATAGGCCATATAAAATGAATGCAAGTCAATGAAATGTCCCCGTATGTCATGAAAACCCAGCTGTGTGTGTGCATGTTACCATCTGGGTCGCTGATGATGTCCAGCAGAGATTTATCTATGGTTGACTTGCTCATCAGCTTCTCTTCATACTCAAAGTAAACATCCAATTTACGGCTCTAAAGGTAAAAAGGGGAACTAGGTCAATCATTTAACAGAGAGCGACATGAGCAGCAGCTGCTGGAATCCACTGGAGCTCATATTGTGAGTCCTGATGACAGTAAGGCGTCTGAAACAGCTGGAAGGGTTAAAGGTGCCGGCTGGCCGTCCTACAGGTACCTTAATGTGGTCGAGGACTGCAGTGGCAACGTTTGTGTGAAGATCTATCAGTCTTTTCTTCTCCAGGAGCTCCGGCAGAGAGCTGAAGACAACAGGAAATAATGGAATGAAACTTTTTTACATTCTACACATTCAAAGGCTGTTAGATGAAAACTCAAACATGTTAAAGCTTCTCAAACTGCTAAAAAAGCTAGGCAGAGGTCTGCGACAGAAAAAAAATACTGTCTGAGCAGAATCCAGAACATGAGAAACCGGAAGATCCAAAGCAGATCTCAGCCGTTACTGGAGGAAGAGCTCATAAATCTACTAGTGCTGATAAATAATCATGTGGAATAATATCTATATACAACAACTGGAAGAACTGTTTATCTACAGAAAGTGCAGCGGTGTCAAAAGTTCACACATTTGTTACTTCAGTAGAAGTATAGATACTGCAGTTTAAAAACAAGTTGAAGTATCAACTTGACCTCTTTACTCAAGTAAAAATGAAAAACTATGCGCTCCAAAAACTACTTAAAGTATAAAAGTATAAAGTAACCTTTAAAAAAACAGGCAGATGCCGCTATATGAACTGAAAGCTCAATTTTATGACTATTTCTAAGAATTCTTTAAGATAGGGCCAAGGATGAGGGAGGTCTGGTTCATCTCCCGATACGCTCTCGCCTGTGTCTGACCTTCAGACATTTCTACATCTGTTTCCTAATCACTAGATGTGGGCGGAGCCAATGATCTGCATTGGATGGAGCACATGACGGGAAATAAATATTTATAAATATTAAACCGAAGCCCAGAGTAACGAGTAACGTTTGTTTTGAAAATTTACGGAACAGAAAGTACAGATACTGGTGTGAAAATGTAAAGAGTAGAAGTCAGAAGTAGGAAGAAAAATAAGTAATGGAGTAAAGTAGAGATGCATAAATAGTGTTCTTAAGTACAGTAACAAAGTATTTGTACTTCATTACTTGACACCTCTGATAAAGTGTGTGTGTGTGTAGTGAGGACCATGTGTGGACTCCCATTGACCTCCATTGGTTTTCAGTCATTTTCAAGGCTTTCTATGCCCTACAGGCTGATTTATACTCAGAAACCAGGTGGTCTGCGTGTGTCGCGGTGAACGCAGATATGCCCCAGCTGTTCTGACACACTCTGCTGCACCTCTCAGAAATTGTAGGTGAGCACAGACAGCGCAGACAGGAGGCCTCTGACTGGTCAAATCTACATCCCCTCTACACTATGAATATTTCCTGTTTGGTTCCTTACCGGCTTGTTTTGTTTGTCCGACCACCATTGTGGAAAATGATGCGAGAAGTTGGACCAGCTAGAAGATAAAGGTGCGTGAGAACGCTGGGAGCCTTTTTCTACCTGGATCTCTGCTCTTTTTGGCCCTCATGTCCCTCCGTTGTCGGACAAACTTGCCCCCACTTCCTCGCCGTATCTAGACCCACAGCTAGTTCCTGATTGGCCATTTGCATTGTGGCGTGGAAAATAATAAAGCTTCAATATTGGGCATAAATGAAAAATATCTGCTTCAAGCTCACTGCGACACACTGCAGCGGGAGGATAACCAGGCCTTAACCCTACACCTAACCATTACCAATGCAGACCTCACCCTAACCCTATTGACACCTCAGCGCTAAGCCCAATCATTAGCAAAATAACATGTGAGGACCAGCAAAATGTCCTCACTTTGCAACAACTCGTCCTCAATCTGATGTTGAAATTGGAAAAATGGTCCTCACTCTGAGGGCTAGACAGGTACACACACACACATGCATACATACATAATATATATATATATATAAAGTTAAGTTTGTGAATTGGTGTCTTAATAATTTTTTTCTCCTAACTTTCTGTCACCATCAGTGAATCTCTCAACCATGAGACGGACGAAGTTCATTCCTATTTATTTATTTTTTGAGTTTTTGCGGCACTAATGGCTCCTTTTTGTTACAGTAGGCTGACAGGAAAGAAGGTATGAGAGAGGGGGAGGGACATGCGGGACACCACAGGCCGGACTCCAACCCGGGTCGCCCGCATCAAGGACTAAGGCCTCCGTACATGGGTCGTGCCGCTAACCACTACGCCACCTGCACGCCATTAATTCAATGAGAAATCCACCTGAGCCAGAAGACGGCGTTCGATACTATAAGACTGGAACAGAGAATATTTCCCCCATTTGGGGAAAGTTCAGCATTACAGGAACGTGTTTCCTGTTCGGTCTAAGAAGTGTCAGATTCTGCAGACTTTTTGCTGGGTTCTTCTCTGGCTGTGGAGTTATAGGTGAGCTAACCGAGGTACATAAGCAAAAACCCTGAAAGAGGCTGAAGACCTAGAAGAGTTCAGGGAACTGATCTGATCCCTTCCCTGTTCATCATTACCTCACAGCAGAGGTGAGCTTGGCTGTGTTGTCTGACAGCATGCTGATGGCTCCTTCATCCTCGCCATCCAACCCCTGGAGAGAAAAAAAAAATCCATGGTCAGTAAAGTTTCACTCCAACCTCTATCAGCAGGAGACGGTGAGAGCAAACTTCATCAGAGCTACAGAACGATCAGAGAAAAGCTAAAGTCACCAGAGGAACCATTTTCTGCCTCCAAACCCATTTAGCAGAGTTAAACGTGTAGATAGCTGGCAGTCCTTTTAAAATCATTTAATTCTATTGAATAAACCGTCTAAATGAGCTAAATATAAAAAAAGCAGTTTTTCTAGTATTTCAGAAGAACGGACGGGCGGTCAGACAGCAGGAGCTGCATCTCAGCATCATTTAAAGGTTTCATGGTGACAGAAACGTTTCAGAAATATTCCCTTCAGACAAACGGAGAGCAGCGGTCACACCATCAATGGCCTGTTGAAGAAAAAGCAGACAGGACTCCTACCAGCTATTAAACACAGTGGGGGAGGGTTGGTGATCTGGGCTTGTTCTGAAGCCACATGACCAGTCAGAGCAGATAAAAAACCAATTTGTTTCCCAAACTGGGACCAATCGGTCTGAAGCTTTGCTCCAGGATAACGTTTCTGTGACGCTGCCCACGTTGTTAGGGGCGTGAGTACGTTCAGCGTCAGGCCATCAGCGTTCAGACCTGTGAGGCTCACCATGATGCTTTTCAGGCGTTTCACTTCATCCTCCTGAGTTCTGTAGGCATCCAGCTCCTCCTGAACCGACTCCGCCACCTCTGGGAACGGACTGTCAGAGAAACAGGATAACAGGGAAAGAAATAAGCCACTTATCAGAGTAAAGAGATCAATTAGTACAGGTCCCAAGAAATGACCAAACTAAACATTAAGATGTTCATTTATGGAAAGGAAAGATGTTAAATCTTTGGATGATCTAGAGGCCGTGTAGAAATGTGGTTCTACCCAGGGAGCCCTATCCAGTGACGGCACTTCGCTCTCAATCTGCAGGTTTACTAGTGGTTCCTAGAATTTCTAAAAGTAGAATGGGAGGCAGATCTTTTAGTTCTCAGGCTCCTCTCCTGTGGAACCAACTACCAGTTTTAGTCCGTGAGGCAGACACCCTGTCTACTTTTAAGGCTAGGCTTAAAACTT